GGTCTCGATCCTTAATCATGGGGCACTTCAACCATGATAAGATAGACTGGGAGAAGAAATGCCACAGGGTATTAATGCCTACCCTGTTAATATAACAGACTGGTAATATCAGCAGCATCTAGATACTTGTCAAGTTAGCATGTCAATGGGTCCACTAGAAAGAGAGGTAATGAAGAACAAGCAGATTTGACCCGATATTCACTATGAATGAGTCAAATATTACGAAAGTTAACTTTGAAATTTCTCGAGAACAAGTGACTACTTGTGGAAAAGGAGATACACTGTTCAAGGGAACATCAGAAGCATCCCAGATACTGCAGATACCATAGAAAACACGACTCAAACAGAAGACCACGCAAACTATTATGAATTTTAAACCAGAAATGCTGTGAGAACAATGGAGGGCATAAGATTAACTCGTGATTTAGCAAATGAGGCGATGGAGCAAATCACATATGCATGAAGGAATGTTAAACTTGCAGGAACAAAAGAACAACAGAGACCAAGAAGCCATTAATGAGAAACTCAGAAGCCAAGCAAAAATCCAATTTGAAAACGATATTACAGATAAAGACAAAGGCACAGTGCAAGTTGCTCCATAGACACATCAGGGATTAAAAATATCAAAGAATCAGGCGATAAAACTGAGGGTAGGAGAAGACTCACTCAATGATAATGAAGGAACCTAACAAGGGATTCCAGGAAGCATTTGCAATAGACGGAAAATAAGTTATTGAAGCAGCCCAGAGGACTTTGAGATTACCAGAGATGAACTACGACGGAACCTGCTCGAGCAGGACAGTGTGATCACTGCCATTTTCATGTAGAAATTTACTTTATTTGATTTTATTGTTATATTATTTGTAACAATGTAATCTGCCAAGATGTATGTGAAGAATAGATAGTAAATATTGAAGTGAAAGTAATAGAGGAGAACTTGCAGATGGTTTTGATGAAGGCGCCCAGAGAGAGCATATATAGTTGACGAAGCATTTCTTTGACTCAGCCTTGAGGTGTTGTGCATGCCCGGTCACAGGCACAGAGAGAGGAAATTTGGTATTAATTATATATATACGTGATAGGCGATGCCGCTGACTCTACAGAATACAAAGCGTAAGTTAAAATGAAGTTAGCGAATCAATTGTGTTTTGATCAAGGAGATTATTGAAATGTGTAATGTATCTACTCATGGGTCATAGGTTGTTTTGAGCCTCTTCATTACTTTTAAAATACTGTACTGAAGCTTGATTCCATAGCCAGAAATTATATATAAAACCAGTATTCAGTGGACATAGATAGGTATTGTATGTGCCAGATAACATGAGAGAGAGAGGCTGTGTGAGTTGTGAGGTTGTTCCTTCCCTGTGGTGGAGCTGAACCAGAGTTGTTCCTCCCCTGTGGTGGAGCTGAACCAGAGAGTTGTTCCTCTCCTGTGGTGGTGCTGAACCAGAGTTGTTCCTTCCCTCTGGTGGTGTAATGATCTGGGGCTCAGATCATTGGTTCTCCCTTCTCCCCTCTTTTCCCTCCCCTTCTCCCCTCCTTTCCTTCTCCCTCTCCCCTCCTTCCTTCTCCCCTCCCCTTGGCCGTCATTCGTCTCCTCCTCTTCCCTCCCCCCTGTCGCCCATTTGTCAGGGTCAAGAGGTTGACCTGAGGGTAGGGTGGTCGTGGATACCTTGGCTTCTCCCACTCAATTCCCCACTCAGATATTTCCCTCTCCACCCCCTCTCATCCCTCTCTGTCCCTCTCAGCAGCGGCCTTCCCCATACCAGGCAGAGTCAAATGTCCCTACTCCTATCTTAGAGGAGACAGGCTTGAACATAAATTATCAGTTTTGTAAACATTGCTCGCAGGTGCCTGGGCTCCATAGACGCGCCTTGTCCCTCTTCTCTTTAGCTGGGGAGAGCTGACTCAATCTTCAGAAATTCATGTAGCTTCCACGACAGATCAGTGAAGGTGATTGGCCTGAGATAAGGGCCAAGTCCTTATTGGCCCTAGAGAGCCAGACCTCAGGCCTACGTGTTAAATGGTTGGCCAGGGCCAAAATAATGGGTGGAGCCCTGGGGCTGTATTAGATGGTGGGAGGAGTAATCCTTCCCAGCAATAAGTTGGAAAAACTAAATTTCATCAGTGTGTCTTGGGAGTGTATTAGGAACAGGGCCGCAAGCCCGTATCCTCGGGGCTGAGGGCAGCCATCAACATCGTGGCCGTGGTGCGGGTATTTAAGGTATAGTGCACTTGAGTTTTGTGTCCTCGGTAAATATCCATTGTGCCTCTAGGGAAATAGAATAGGTGATGTGTTCAAATTGTCTTAATTTACATGTTTCATAAAATAAATGGTATAGCTTGTCCAGTGGTATTCACTTAACTCCCCTTTGATATATTTTGCTACTTTGTCATTTTTTAGGTGTTGTATTGGAAGCCCCCATGTTCTCCTACTATTAATAGATACTAAAGTTGCCCTTGGATTCAAATAAGTAACGTAAATTACACAAACTAATTTTCCAAAATTTATTACTGAAATTCATATTACCCGGAGTCCCATGGTTACTGATTCCTTGCCTTCCTGGGGGATCGGTGATTGACACATTCAGGTATGGTTGGTCAGGAAGGTGGTGGCAGTGTAAATGTGTTTTGTTATTGTTTTTTTTTACTAATAACCCTTGTCCTTGGTGTATCTTCCTCATTTAATATTCCTCTTACATACGTGGCAGTCCAGTGAGGGGTCATGCTGGACTGTAACAGTGTTAAGCTGGGGTATTGAGTGAAGAAAGACGGAGAATTACAATAGAGAGCGTATAGTACGATTATGAGAGATCACAAGATAACAGGATTAATACTGGGGAACATTGGGTTATTACAATAGAGGCCGCGGTTATTACGACAGGGTAAGCGGTCGTTACAGTGGAGCTGAACCAGAGAGTTGTTCCTCTCCTGTGGTGGTGCTGAACCAGAGAGTTGTTCCTTCCCTGTGGTGGAGCTGAACCAGAGAGTTGTTCCTTCCCTCTGGTGGAGCTGAACCAGAGTTGTTCCTCCCCTGTGGTGGAGCTGAACCAGAGCTGTTCCTTCCCTGTGGTGGAGCTGAACCAGAGTTGTTCCTTCCCTGTGGTGGAGCTGAACCAGAGAGTTGTTCCTTCCCTCTGGTGGAGCTGAACCAGAGAGTTGTTCCTTCCCTGTGGTGGTGCTGAACCAGAGAGTTGTTCCTTCCCTCTGGTGGAGCTGAACCAGAGAGTTGTTCCTCTCCTGTGGTGGTGCTGAACCAGAGAGTTGTTCCTTCCCTGTGGTGGAGCTGAACCAGAGCTGTTCCTTCCCTGTGGTGGAGCTGAACCAGAGAGTTGTTCCTTCCCTGTGGTGGAGCTGAACCAGAGAGTTGTTCCTTCCCTGTGGTGGAGCTGAACCAGAGAGTTGTTCCTTCCCTGTGGTGGAGCTGAACCAGAGAGTTGTTCCTTCCCTGTGGTGGAGCTGAACCAGAGAGTTGTTCCTTCCCTGTGGTGGAGCTGAACCAGAGTTGTTCCTCCCCTGTGGTGGAGCTGAACCAGAGCTGTTCCTTCCCTGTGGTGGAGCTGAACCAGAGAGTTGTTCCTTCCCTCTGGTGGAGCTGAACCAGAGCTGTTCCTTCCCTGTGGTGGAGCTGAACCAGAGAGTTGTTCCTTCCCTCTGGTGGAGCTGAACCAGAGAGTTGTTCCTTCCCTCTGGTGGAGCTGAACCAGAGAGTTGTTCCTTCCCTGTGGTGGAGCTGAACCAGAGAGTTGTTCCTTCCCTGTGGTGGAGCTGAACCAGAGAGTTGTTCCTTCCCTGTGGTGGAGCTGAACCAGAGAGTTGTTCCTTCCCTGTGGTGGAGCTGAACCAGAGAGTTGTTCCTTCCCTGTGGTGGAGCTGAACCAGAGAGTTGTTCCTTCCCTGTGGTGGAGCTGAACCAGAGAGTTGTTCCTTCCCTGTGGTGGAGCTGAACCAGAGAGTTGTTCCTTCCCTCTGGTGGAGCTGAACCAGAGAGTTGTTCCTTCCCTGTGGTGGAGCTGAACCAAAGAATTGTTCCTTCCCTGTGGTGGTGCTGAACCAAAGAATTGTTCCTTCCCTGTGGTGGAGCTGGGATAATAATTTTTCACAATGTCTGCTGATGAAAAAAAATACAAGGCAAATACATACGATGAAAATTAAGAAACTACAGGATGACCTTGACAAAATTAAAGAATGGTCCAACATGAGGCTGCTAGACTTAAACTCACGCAAGAGCAAAATAATGAAGAAGAGTACTGGAAAGAGGAGATCGGACACAATTTGGAGACTGGTATTACATTTAAACCTGACACAAGGAGCTCTATAAGTTCATATACGTAATTTAATGTACTACTTCAGTTCATTTAGCACCCACATTTAGCTAATCATCCTGTGAGCAGTGGTTGGAAGGTGTACATTATTATAGACAGCCTCACTCAGTCTATTATATCTACCATATAGGCGCACACATATACAATATATAATTATGAATGATGCATTACGCACATTAAATAGATTCGTATTTGATTTCGAAGTTAAATTATAGTTTCTAGTATCTTCGGAAAAGTTATACTTTATCCATCATAAATATAAAATATAGGTTATCTATATATATATATATATATATATATATATATATATATATATATATATATATATATATATATATATATATATATATATATATATATATATATATATATATATATATATATATATATATATATATCGGCTACTAAATCACTAATTAATCGCGCATAATTAAGTCCATATAATAGCTGGCTATATATATTTTACAACCAGTACAAATTAACAACCATATTCCGTTGAACAGTCACAAATAAAATAGCACACAGGGATAGACATATGACGTTAGTGTATACATAAATCCGGTGTAAACTGGAGGATGCATATTATCGGGGTGAAGGATATCCTGGTGGAGTTGGGTGGCGTGTATGCGTGCGCAGAAATAAAACGTCGAGCGGCGCGCATGTATAACCCAGGCAGCGCCTAGCAGACAACGTTAGTACTCGACAAGCGCTGGAGCGAGGGGGAAGGTAGCGCCGTTGCTCCAACCTCCTTGACTGGGACACCCCCGTAACCGCGTTCGTAAAGATTTATACGAGTGAGACTGTTGCTTCAGAGTGGTTCTGGGCGTGACCATCATGATTGTTAAGGCGGACGGCGCTGGGCAGCTGCGTCAGGAGGACCAAACCACCATGTCTCACTCCTCGCCCATAATACAGCTGGCCCGCTCCTGTAACTCTTTCCTGATGCAAGGTATGTTGTGTAGGCCACAACTGTGCACTTTGAATAGCAAGGGCTGTATTATGGCGGTAAATTAAATGGGGGGGAAGGAATCTGTTCCTTTGGTCAATAATTTCTCCTCGTTTGGTACCGTTGCTTCTAGTAAGTTCTATGTTCTCGTGAAGTATTACTTATTGACAATAATTTGCTCAAAATGTATAATATTTTGCAATGCGTTAGTTGACGATAGCAAAAATAGCTGAAGAACGGAATGTATTTCAGGATTTATTTTTAAAACTCCTCCGGTGGAGAAATTAAATATTTACAGGCCTCTTTGTAAACCTAATTTATATAACGTGTAGTTTTGATAAATCCCCATTGACAAGTTTAATTGACATTAGTGGTTGGTAATTAAAACATGTGAAGGTTTGACCACTATCAAAACCACGTACAGTAGTTTGCGTTAATCCTGTATATTTGTACAGCTCGGGAACGTATGCGTATATTAAGATTGCTTATAAGAAATACCTGGATTACTCAAACATGTTCAGACGTTATATTTTTTTGCAGAGATTAAATAAATAATAAATAAATGTTTATTCAGATAAAGTACATACAAGAGGTTTTACAAAAATTGATACTTATAGATAGAGCTATAGTACATACAATGCCTAAAGCCACTATTACGCAAAACGTTTCGGGGAGAATTAGTCTGAGGCATTTGTCATTAAAGTCTATATCAGAGTGACGGCGAGATGGTTAACGGCTCGCAATGGGCTCCTGAAAAGCTTCCCAATATTAGTATATCTACGTTACAGCCTTGATTACCTGGTTAAATTAACATGCATCGACAATTTCCAACTTTGAAACCAACATAGTGACCCCAAAGAGTCTTGAGTGTTAAAGGACCCAATACATACAGTGGGCGGTGGTGAACAGGTTGCAAACACGTACGAGAGTAGACCTCCCTGAACCTTCACCAAGCGGGTACTGTATATGTAGTAGCTACAATAGGCAAACGCTGGATGCATTCTAGAGTACAGGCTTTAAATGGAGTAAGTCTTGTAGACAAATACAGGGACACTAGGTTTTTTAAAATCTTTTGGTTAAAAACTGGGTTAATTAGAAAAATCTAAACTACACTGCATGAATTGGCAAACAGTTTTATTACACACACAATATCTGAAGTCTTGCATTGTATTCGTTTTTTGCTTAAAGTAGATAAATGCCATGTAGTGTGAAGACTAATAAAGGTATAGCTTTTTTTATTCTTTAATTTTGCTACATAATCTTAATGGCTTGGCGATTTCCCTTGATAATTCCCTTCCCCCCCATATCCAAAATATTTTAAGAGTTGGCAAAACCCCTGTCAACATAATTTATTATAAATACATATTGTATTTGTTTATAACTAGCAGAAATAATGGGTGCTGATTAGCTCAAATTGTTAATTAAAAAAAAAAAAAGATTAGGTCAGATAAGAACCTTTTATGCACCTGTAATCCATTTTGCGCTTCGCTCACAGGATGACGTATGCGATTATTAATCAAAAACTGTTGACAATGATTTCAGAATGAGTATGAGGTACACAATAAAAAAAATACCTGGTAGTGTATCCTTGTAATTTAATACATTTCTTACATTCGTGATATTTCTCGTAATTTTTTCCCCACATTCCATAAGAGCCTGAGACTAGTAGTGGTAATATAGCAACCCGTTCTCGCAAATTTAATAAGTAAATATTGACTTATTAAATATGTGCATAGGTGACATACTTAACATAATAGATACCCTTAAAAAGATTCATAGAAAACACCGACCTTACCTAACCTTGTTAGTATCTTAAGATAAGCATTTTATTGCTTCGTAATTACAATTATTACCTAACCTATAATAGATATAGGTTAAGTAATAATTGTAATTACGAAGCAATAAGATGCTTATCTTAAGATACTAACAAGGTTAGGTAAGGTCGGTGTTTTCTATGAATCTTTTTAAGGGTATCTATTATGTTTAGTATATCACCTATGCACGTAGTTAATAAGTCAATATTGACTTTACGAATTTGCGAGAACGGGTTGTAATATAGAGAGGTTTGCTGATTTTATTAGAATATCCATAGATGTGTGGCTCTTGCGTGATAGCATATTAATGGAGCAAGTTTAAAGATCAACTAACCATAATGTAGGATTGAAAACAGGAGACCCTTTCACCCAAAGGGTTATAAACCCCATGAAACCGCATACCTGCCGAAGCCGTAAATGCTAAAACAGTTGAATTTTAAAAGTCCAGCTTGAAAAAAAATGAGGACAAATGGGAACCTTTTGACAAGCCGCCAACTTCCTGTCCTTGTCGAGGCGACTAGTGTATTAGTGACCTTTCAGGTAAATTCAGGTAAATTTTTGACATATCCTCCACTCGCCAACAAAATGGGAATGGACCCATAATATATTAAACTAAACTGAAGAAGCTCGCTCTTTTTAAGCCTCTTGTGGCCAGTAATGTTAGTTTTAAGTATAGACGGCTGATGCATGTTAAACTAGCTAGCAAGTGAAGGCTGTAACCTGGTTACCTATGATAATTTGAGTAATTTCATGGCTCATTGTGTGTGCCACTAAACTTTTTCACCAACTCCAGTGGTATGGCGGTGGGTGCATAACAAATAAACTAAATGATCTACAAAATTTTGGACTTGGTGTATTATTCTGGTGTATTATTCTGCCTGCTTGTAGGCAATCCAAACTCCTTTAAAACAATATTCTTGGCTAACTCGGCAGTTTTATCTCGCATTCGGCGATGAACACGAGATGGAATCCACACAGTTACTATAATTAATAATTTTGCTGTATCTTGTCTAGCTTCATGCACAACTATAGGTGGTTTTATAGATTCGTGCAATTTTTGTTTTTCTTAACCTATCCATAAAATATTTTGTAGGCGAAAATCTTGGCTCCCATAAATGTAATTTGAACTTGTCAATAAAGGACGCGACTGGTAAGCAGTAGCAGGGAATGTTGCCAGCGTGGGTGTGATGACCCGTCTATGTGCAGTGAGGGAAGTGGACTGTTGCATCAGCAACCCATTGACACCACCGTTCACAGGTGTTGCCGGTGGCTCCCACCATCACGGCCAGGGCGAAACTAACGGCTTCGCTGCCACTTCAGCAAGTAGTACTGATACATTTTTTTTTGTCTTGGCTTTTATAACATTTTCATGGCACAAGTCTTTTTTGAAAACAGGAATTTAGTTTAGTTAAAAGTTGTGCATTGGATTATTGATGACGAGCAAGATTATGTTCGTAATGTTCTTAATTAAGCTTTATTTTTTAAATCGTTCGTCTGAGTCATTATATATCAAACTTGTAAACGTGAATAGCGGTCAGGTAAAATTGTGTACTAATGCAAGTTTTTTTTACTTTTAACGTAGGCTTTATGCTGTTAATTTACAAATATTATTTGATGTGGCAGTAGCATCAGTTAACTTATTACAATAAGTTACAGGTAAACATCACTAACCTGTAACGCATAATAATAATTATTAGTAAATAATAATTCAGACATTATCCCAATATCACGCTGGGATAATGTCTGCACAGGACAATGGCGATGTATCATCAATATCACGTTACTGTTCTTGAATCTTGGTAACTACCTGCCTCTATGCATAACTGCGATGTGTACGAAGTATTCTCTCGTTATGAGCGCTTACAGCAGAGTGCGTAGACTGTTGCATCCTGTACGACAACTGCGGCAGTAGTTGCATGACGTGGCGTTTAAAGTGCGACCGTCTCGCCAGGGAAAGATGATTATCCTCATGCATGCAGTGGTCTTGAAGAGTAGATCCTCGATCCTGGTTGTCTCCGGGGGGGGGGGGGTCCTGTTTAGTCTACTCTTATATCCTCTCTTGCCTAAAGACCTCCCCTCGCATAGCTCTCGTCTAGAAACTGGTTCGATCTGGAACCCCAGCAGCCAGTGCAATCCAGCTAGAACTGCTTTGTGCGGATGTTTTTTTATATATCTCTAGTCGGGTATGAGGAATTGTAGAGCATGCCCCTGATATACGGAAGTAACATAAGCAAGCTCTAAAGATAAATTGGAAAAGGCACAGTGTTAATGTACTATTAAAATTTCGATCAATAGTTTTCATCGAGAGGAGAGTTTTCTTAGTGTCGCTTAGTACAGATGTTCCTGTAGGAGCAGCAGAATTGCCATCGTGTACGTAAATTGCTTTTAATTAAATATTGAGGGGCAGTGTTGTCGGGGAAGGTCGGTCCCCCCCCCATCCCCTCTTGGATGAGCTCGATGGTGTATTGATAATCCTTTTAGTTTAATGTATACCGTCCTATTGAGGTAAAGGTTACACACACGCATACACAAGGGCTCAAGAACTGAACGCCAAAGTTGGTTTAGCTAACAAAGATAAAACAGAGATAATTTAATATGCATCAACTGTATTTGGTTGATCAAACGTCATTCTAAAGTGCCACATCATGAGCGAGTTTTGGACCCCATTATACCCATTACATAGTAAAGTAAATTTTATTCAGGAAAGTACATACATAGTTGATTAAGAAACATGATGTTGGATTTATAGATAGAGCTAGTACATAAAATACCTAAAGCCACTAGTACGCATAGCGTTTCGGGCAACATTGATAATGTTGATGAATGTGATGTGAATGTTCATTGTCATTATTGAATGACAGCAAGGTTTCACATAATAGGTTAAGGTACTGGTCCTCGAAGATTTTTTGTCAAAGTTTGTCTCTTAAGTTTTTTTAAAGTTTGTCAACTAAAGGTGCATATCCTTTGGCAAAACTCGTTGCCTTTATTGTGCATTCGGAAGCAAACACGAGATGGAATACACATGAATTAAACTACTACAATTTAATATTTTTTTTATTTAAACGCCTCATAATCATCCCGTGGGCGATGATAGATAGGGTTAGAGGGGTACATAATGGGTTCAGACACTGAACCCCATAATTCGTTTAGCTTCACAAGTGATACTTGCTTAGCTAGTTACACAATTGT